CTCTCTCTCTCTCTCTCTCTCTCTCTCTCTCTCTCTCTCTCTAAATAATTCCAGTCAGTCCCATGACCTTTGTCCAACCTAAATCGCCAGCCATACTCCCATGTGCGCTTTGTAGGAAGATAGGCCTCTTCAACCAGGGCCTACCAAGTCATCAAATTAGCCGGTGTTTTGCTAGCCTGCACCAAACCAGTCCTCATCAATCAGAGCCGACTGGAACGGAGGGAAAGGGTCAGGGAAGTCCTGTGAAGAATGAAACATCGCTGTCCATTCTTGCCCAGTCTCGGAAACTCCTCACCCTAAACTATTATATATAGGGTTATAATTTGAAGGAGCAATGTGTTTGTACTACTTTGTAGTTTATAAATCGCATAGGCTCTGGCGGCTGTTACCGCCTATGATAACAGCAATAGGTACTCCAAAGAAGGTGGTCTTCTCTGGACGGGGACCCAATGGTCCTATGTTCACGTTAGAAAAGCATGAACCTCTTCGTCGAAATGAGCAGCTTGATGTTAGCTTAGCGCAAAGCAGCAGTGGGGTCTGCACCTGATATTGCCCACATTCGTAGGTCACAAATCCCATGCATCATAAACAGCTATGTAAGTAAATGGCTTAGTGGGCTTAATCCCTGGACTGAGTATCCCTCTTGCAGTTCTATCTCATGAGTGGGAATTTGTGAATGATTGAAATATCTGGCCCGTGCATAAGGTTATTCTGTTTTTTAACTTTTTAGGCACTTTTCCCTATTTTTCATTTCCCTCCCTTTCTTTCTTTCTTTTTGCTTCTTCATTAACGATCCTTCCACTGGAGTTATTTTCAACTGTAGTCGCTAGTACTTGACAGCTGAGACCAAGCATTCGGAACCAGGAAGATCTATTCATTATTGATACATGCTCAATCGAGCGATGTATACAGAACCAAGGATCCCCAAAGTGATGAAAAGGACTCAAATGGACAATGCAGCGTCAGAAAAGCATCAACAAGCAATGTACATCAAGATACATACGAAAATAGCATAATGTAGCGCAGTGGAAGACTCAAAGATATGACCTGACCTGTCAGATACTGACGTGACACCACATCATACACCAGACATGTGAGAGAGAGGGGAGGGACTGCATACATGGAACAAAGGTCCCTCCTTGAGCACGCACATGGGGAGATACCAAGGATGAAGAGATGGGGGGGGGAGGCGAGACGAAGATGGAGGTGAGGGAGAAGACCAAGATCGCGATAGTGAAGTCCAAAAATAGTCTCCCTGCCGAATGTCCAATCAATGTCTGCCACAAAATATCGAATCAGATCCCGGGCCTCGTGGCCCTATGTAACCTCTGCCGGTAACCTCTCTCTCTCTCTCTCTCTCTCTCTCTCTCTCTCTCTCTCTCTCTTGGCCCGATGTAACCTCTGCCGGTAACCTCTCTCTCTCTCTCTCTCTCTCTCTCTCTCTCTCTCTCTCTCTCTCTCTCTGAAAGGAGGAGGAGAAGAAGAAGAAGAAGAAGAAGAAGAAGGGAGGAAGAAGAGATGGAGGGCGAGACTACGAAGAAGAAGAAGATGTCATCCTCTTAGCTGTCTCACCTGCAGGTAACTGCCGCCATGTACTAACTGCCGCCAGCGTGTCTCTCTGTGCAGGCAGTTGCCGTGGAGTCCAGTTATGGCGCCCAGGTAAGGACCGCCTCAGCAGGTATGGCCTCCGCCTCACCTCCTACCTACGCCTCACCTCCTACCTACGCCTCTACACCTTAGTGCAGCTCTGTGTCGCGCTGCTCCAGCAGCGTGTCACCCAAGAAGTGAGCTACTCGAACTGTGTGTCTTCCGTGGCCTAGCCCAGCTATATGTAGCGCTGGTCCTCGCTGGTGACCCTTCGTGTGCCTCTGGTCCTGGCCTCAAAACGGCCTGCCTGGGTCCCCACCGGACGTCCAGGCCCTCCCTGCTGATGCAGCAGGGAGCGTCCACTACGTGCCGAAAGTGGACCTGGCCAGAAAGGGCCTTCCTGTGAACGTACAAGGCCCTAAACGTGGCCTTTGCCGAACAGACCGAAAGTCTGTTCGGACGAACTGCAAGTCCGAAACGACCCCTGAACGGACAAAAATAGGACAGCAAATAAATAAATAAATAAAGCCTTAAATGGAAACCTGCAGCCCTAAAGCCAGCCATGGGCCTCCAGGGCATGCGTCTGAGGGGCGTGCGGCCTGGGGGCCCCCAGCAACCGTTGGGTCCCCAAAATAGGGCCCGTGTGTAGGCTCAGCATGTAACATTATCTAAGAAACACCAAGGACAAGGATATGGCAGCTTGTTCCACCAACAAGTAGAACTTACAAGAAGTCTATTCCTTATTTAAGAAACAGCAAGGAGAAGGATAGTGTTACGGACTCTGCCAGGGCTCGATCCCTGGTCTATCTTTTTGCTGTTTCGGCTGCATCCCGTTTTCGGCCTGGCACCCTTTTTCCAAACCCCTCCTTTGGTAACGTAAGATTTTGGACAACAGGCGCCATGCTGCAATTCGGGCGCCACTTTCAAATACCGCATTTTTCAGTTCTGCCCTCGGGGCCTTTGCAGAAATGCCCCTGGTACCGTACGTGTCACGGGTACTCATACCGGCTCCCCGTACGGTACGGGGACCAGTCTCGTACCAGTTTTCTGCTGCTGTACTTGTGCTTCGGTGTGACTTGCTTCGACATTGTCTTCGGAAATCCAAGACTTCGACTTTGCGACTTTGCCACTTCGTGTCTGCGTCCGTCGAGTCGTGTCGAGTCTGCGTCGAGTTGAGTGAGTGTGTGTGTGCGCTCTCACTATCTCCCTCTCTCTCCCAGCCTCGTTGCCTCAGCCCCGTCACACTGGTATCGGAGCGGTTTGAACCCGCCCGACCCACCCGGCTTCATCGTCGCGTGCCACGTCATCATCGTCATCGTCGTCACCACGTCATCATCGTCATCGTCGAGATCGTCGTCGCCATGTCATCATCGTCATCATCGAGACCATCGCCATCATACCACGTCATCAGCATCATCGTCGCGTTGGTCGTGGTCATGCCACGACATCATCATCGTCGCGATCGCCATCATCGTCATCGTCGCGATCGTCGTCGTCGTGCCACGTTTCCATCGCCGTGCCCGTCGTCCTCGTCGCTGCACCGTGCCATCCTCGTCATCGTCGTTGATACCTCCGTCGTTGATACAATTTTCCTTTTTTTTTTTTTTTTTGAATTTTTTCTTCTTCTTCGTCGTGACTCCGATCCCGCTCCCGCGCAACCTCCCCTCTCCGACTTTCGATCTTCCCCCCCCACGTGCCGTTTCCCCCCCACCCGGCGCATTTTCCCCCCCGACACCCCACTTCCCCCCGCGCTATCCCCACGCGCAACCCCGACTCCGCCTATTATTGCCTTGTCCTTGACCGCGAAAGTCCCGAGGAATTACTCCCAACGGACAAACCCAATCAAGGCCCCCCCTCTGACCCCGTCCTCACCTCTATCCTCGACGAGTTCAAGGACGTCTTCCCTGAGTCCCTGCCTGCCGGATTACCTCCGGATCGTGGCGTATCCCATACCATCGATTTGGAGCCCGGACATTCACCACCTTGCCGCCCTCCATACCAACTCTTGGTCCCTGAAGCCGAAGAAATGAAGCGGCAACTCAATGAGCTCCTTGAAAAAGGGTTCATTAAGCCGAGTTCATCTCCCTTCGGTACTAGCTGCCTTTTTGTTAAAAAAGGTGGAACTTCGAAACTCCGCATGTGCACAGCCTACCGCGCCTTGAACAGGATGACGATCAAGAACAAGTACCCCTTACCTCGGATCTCCGATCTCCTTGACCGACTTCGTGGAGCCAAATATTTCACCAAGATTGACCTTCGCAGTGGCTTCCACCAGATCCGTATCCACGAGGAGGACACCCATAAGACCGCATTCCGCTCTCGGTTCGGGCACTATGAGTTCCTCGTAATGCCTTTCGGACTCACCAATGCCCGCCACATTCCAGTCCACCATGAATCACATCTTCCGTGACCTCCTTGAAGTCTGTGTCGGCGTGTACCTTGATGACATCCTCATCTTTAGCCCCACCTTCGAGTCCCACCTCCAGCATATTCGCCAAGTCCTCTTGATCCTCTGAGAGCAGAAATTCTACGCCAAGCTCAGCAAACGTACGTTTGCCGCTTCGAGCGTCTAATACCTCGGCCACATTGTCTCCGCTGAAGGCATCCGTATGGACCCCTCAAAGGTCACAACCCTCGTCGAGTACCCCATGCCCAAGGCCCTCCTCCAACTCCGTTCCTTCCTCGGCCTTGCCAACTATTACCGCCCGTTCATTCGCAACTTTTCCGAAATCTCTTACCCTCTCCACGAACTCACCCGCAAGGACGAGCCCTTCGATTGGAACGATCGCCGCCAAAACGCTTTCGACTGACTCAAGCAAACCATCACCACGGCCCCTGTCCTCAAGATCGCCGACCCCACTCGCCATTTCTATGTCACCACTGACGCCTCCGACTTCGCCATCGGAGCCGTACTGTCCCAACATTTCCCTCGTGACACCACCGACACCCCCTCCATCAAGAACTCCCCCACTCACGCCGAGGCTCCACCCGGCGAATACCCCATCGCCTTCGCTAGCAAGAAGCTCCTCCCCGCTGTCGGTGTGAATACCCTGACAAGGGTATCCACGGTAGTTTTTGCATGTAACAGGAAGTAAGTTTGAAGATCTAAATGTGCCGCGCGAGTCGCGACAGAATTTGCTGAGTTACGCTAATAGGACGATTGACTAGGAGCAAAGTGTGTGTGGGCGCGCAGTTTTGAGGCACGCGCAATGTTTTTTTCTCTTGATACCGTAGAGTCGGCATGCCCGCCGACAACATTTTTTTTTGATTAAGGCTAGGAAAAGTCTTTCATGTTTGAATTGACCATGGTGCACCTGCGTTCATACAGCGTGCGCCATCGAGGGTGGTTTTGCTAGGTGGCGGCACGCTTGTGCTGCGGGTGCGATGACAGCCAAAGGGAGAAATTTACCCCTTCATGTAGCAAGGGCCGGTGCGTAGGTACCGTAGACGTAGGTTTAGGCCTCCGCGCGGTATTATGGGGGCCACAAGTGTGACGTGTCGAGCAAGGACCCGGCCCCTAACCGCACGTGCGCGCGTACGGGGCCGTGGATTTGAATGGGAAATCAAGCAGCGGCCATAACGCTGCTGCTGCAGGCCCAGGCTGGCCACAGTTACCGTTTACATACTGGGTGGCACACAACCAATCCAGGCTGGGGCTTAGCCCTATAGGTTGCATCACTGTGTTTTCACCAGATGGATCTCGAGATCGAGTCCAGCAGCGGGCAGTGAAGGAGCGCCGTGGAGGAAAGCCGAGGGGTTGAGGGACTATCCCCCTTAGTTTTTGCTGGGGAGTCCGGCTACGGGCCCGATGGGCGGGGTTCGACGGTCCTTCCCCTCCTTCAACCACTCCCGCGAAACTTAAGTTTTCTATGCCTTGTCCTTTTTTATTTTGTGCTAATTTTTATTAGATTCTTATTTTTGGGACACGGCCGGGTGTCGGTACCAGGACTGGCTGTGAGAGCCCGGGAGCCTGGCTCAGGGGGTACATCTATGAACTGTTGAAATACAGGCCTGGGTATCAATTCCATTGAAATCAGATGAGTCAAGATGCTGCAAATATGAATTACTTAGGACGGTCAGTCCAGTGGACCTGACCTTGGGAGGGCTATCAGTCATGGAACCGGCAAGAGCCAGCAGCCTGATACAGTTGGTACGCCCATGAACTGTCGAAAATACAGACCGGGGTTTACGGCGAATGTTCTATTTTATCTATTTATTTATTTATTTATTTATTTGTCCTATTTATCTTCGTACACGAGAGTTCTTGCGCAAATTTGTGGATGGCGCCGTGTTACCAGCAAAGTATCAACCCACCATTTGCTGCAGGTAGGCAGGGCCTTGCCCCACCTGGAAAGTTACAGCGGTGCATCTCTCTCTGAACCCGAAAGAAGGTGGACTGTGCCGTGGGCACAGCCTGCCAGAAGGCACCAGTGGGGGGGGTGTTGCATACCGTATAGGTGCAGACCAAAACAAGAACCGACCTTTCAATACAAAGTATAAGATAGCACAGCGGAAGACTTAGATACCAATGATCCGAACAATCAATATTGCAATGCAGCCCCAAACATACATCATCATCATCATTCCATGGTGTGAAGGGGTCTGGCGCTTCACACAGGAAGACTGCGCCAGCCCCAACCATACACAGACGAAGGAGATGGGGGTTAGACGAAGAATAGGGGAAGATGGGAATGTCGTCAACACCAAGTGTTCAGCACAGGCCCAAATAGTCCCTCGTCGAAATGTCTGAATCCCAAAGGTCGAGTCTGGATCCAATGTCGTCAAGTCTCAAGTCACAACTCTCTCTCTCTCTGTAGTAGTCTGCTGATACTGAGAAGTCAGGTGGTGAGAGGGGAAGAAGAGATGGTGGACATAGAGGAGGAAGAAGAAGAACTCTCTCTCTCTCTCT